ACTACTACTACTACTACTTCTCGTGGACTGATGCACTGCTGGCCCTCTGACATTCACCCCGACAAAGCCACCAAGAGGCCAGGAACTCCCCACAAGAACAACCACGAAGTCCAAAGCGTTGTTCTGGACCCCGTCACTCGAACCTGAACCTTCGCGCTCTCCAGGATTATGGCTATCGGCTCGAAGTCTCTTCTCCTCTTGCTTGTGCCGTTGCCAAGTCCTCGATCGAGGGTCTGACCATGTCTGACGCAAGCAAGCTGTTTCCACGGTTCAACCTCAAACGATCTACAGGCTAAACTTACGGCGTACCAACCCAAGCCAACGGTGTCGAGGGCCGCAGACAAACGAAACAAAGTCAGCCGCTGAAGCCTGCGATTTCACCTTGTAATCGCAGACCCGACAATGTCAGGCTGAAGCTCCTTGAGATTCTGGAACCCATAAGTTTTAGCGTGGGTCTTCCAGAAGCCGCGTCAGCGAACCATCGTCATCGACTGCGCAGCCTGGGGCAGATGCCGGTTAGAGGCCAGCACAAGTTGATGCAGGGAAGGGTTGTCATTGCCTGTGAGATTTCAACAACCACTTATAGCGACAGTTGAAGTATTTAGTACCTACTAACAATCGATGCAGCATCAACTCGAGGATCTTGTTGCTCCTGAGCTTTTACGCCGGGCACTGATGACGGATCAAAGCTACATCAGATGGGACAGACGTTGAAATGTGTGATGCAAACGTAGGGGACAGATGAGGCTTTGGCTTGCGCTCGGATTCGACGTGCGGAGAACACAATCAGCCCAGAATCGCGTGTGGCAAGCTAGGCGCGTGCAGCTCTAGCGTTCCAGATGTAGGAGTGTGGGGATTTGGGGGCTTTAGAGCAGCCGGACTCCCTAAACTCTAGGATATGTCGGGAATGCACCTTGGGGAACTGCTCTGAAGCCCAAGACCCTCAGCCCATGCTCCGCTTGCCTTCGTCATTGAGCGTCTGGTCGGCACCCGGGGAGTCCTGCGCTTTGGGATTCAAGGGGGTTCTACAAAGGACAATCAAAAGGGGGCAGAAAAGAGAGGGCTACTTTCATGCTTGAGCAACTTATATGCATCGGCACTGAGGCACTTAGGTTAATGGTTTAGGCCTTGGTGCCCGGACTAGTGACTAGAGCCTCATGCTGGGCTCTTCAACTTGCACAAACCCTAGCAGTGATAACGCTGAGTCTGGCTGCCACTGCTTTTGCCAGCGTGCCTCAGGAAGATAGAGCACGTACCGACAATGGTGAATGCAAGCATGACAAGCCCCAGTAAATTGAGACGATTCTCAAGCCCGACGCAATGAACAATCTCAAATACCAAGGCCCGAAGCATAGAAACCTGAAGCACCAAACCACCCGAGTGTGCTGCAAGTTTCCGGTTCTCGAGCACCCTAAACCCACAGCCCGCCTGCATCCAGTAGAAGCTCGGCAGCATCGCCATGTCGGTGGCGCACCCCCTCAGACCAGACCCGGACTAAGAAAGTGTTTCAGGGTTCAGGGTATGAAACTGCATCAATGCATGCACCCAATGCCGCAAGCACTGCAAGCCATAGTCCGTTTTATGATCAGAACACTGACAAATGTGCAAGCATGGAAACGCCCTTCCGCGGAACCATAGCCGCCATAGCCTATACCTCAACCCTCTCCACACAGGTGCCGAGGTACGCCCCAATGTCTCGACGAGTTCTGCTTACGCTAACGGCACGGATGATTCCATATCCGAATCAAAATCTGATCCGTGACGGAGCCCTCAACCAAGACATGACACCACGGATCGCTAAAGCTCCAAACTTGACTGGAGACCCGAAACTCAAAGCCCGAAATCCTCAACGCGAAACACGACGACATGGCAAATTCTGCCTGAACCCCCTCGAGGTCCTAACAAAAGCCCCCGGTCGTCTGCGAGTCGCCAGATGCAGTGGCGTACGGCCCTCCAGATCTCTCCGATTAATGTCCACGCCTGTGGTCTCCAACAAGATCGGGAGCCTGGGGGGACGAGCGTCTAGGCTCGTGTTGGGTTGAGGCTTTGCGCTTTGCGGGTAAGGGTTTAGGCTGTTTTTTCGGGCACAAGTTTAGGGTCAAGGTTAAAGACGTCGGGCTAACGTGACAACAGTCAAGGTTCCCGTTCGTTGTGCCATCTGAGCCTTGCACTCAGCAGATGGCAACATACGCCCTTCCCAGTGTCTGGCACGACGACGGTGCAAAGGACAGGTCTTTTATCCTTACAACGAAGCAAATGACGGTTACGAACAACTGAGCAAAGATGTGACAAGAAATGAAAAGAAATGAGACTAGCTTCCCAAACTATGCTATGACTTCGGTCATGCTGACGGCCATCCAGATGTGCGTTTGTGTGTGTGTGTGTGTCAGACCGAGAACCGCTGGTATTTCAAGATACTCAAGCACTAACTATAAATTCATGAAGTAACTGAAGTGGTGGCTGTGGTTGCTGCAAACCGATGAGCGGTGCAGGAGTGGCAGAATGTGAGAATTTATGCTTGCCGCTTGCCGCCCTCACCTCAACGCTTCAACACCGCTCACATGAACAGGAATCCTAAAGTTGCTTCACCCCCGAAATGGTCCGCAGCAACAAACTTCTGAAAACAAACCTGCAAGCCGCAAGATGCCTGCGTCACCCAACCGCGTCCAGGATGTCCCCCATCCACCTGCTTCCAGACGGCCCGAAATGCGTTATGGACAGCAGGCTCCAACCATCACGAAAGTATGCGACAGGTGCGGCATCTCGCTGTGCAAGCGTTCGAGTTGGGCTCACGCAATGCTCGGGCAAGTCTGAACTCGGGAAGAAGTACTTTTCTTAATCAAGACTTCAGGGGCGAACGTGCTTGTCCACATGCAGGGTTCTCCTAATCAGGATCCCTTTTCAGTGCCCTTGTACGTGTTTCCCGAAAGTAGGATCTCTTTGTTTTGCATCCAAAGAATAGCCAACTCACAAAACTACCCGTGTGATTCATGATTGCGGCTTTCGTGCGTTGCTTCTCCGAACGAAATCCTGTCGGTATCCTGCTGTCAACTGCAGACCGGCCTTGTCTGCGCCAAGTATGAAGTCCAGGTTCGCCGCCATAGTCTTCTCCGGTGTCCAGATTTTTGCGTCGTGACGTTTCTGCTTCCAGGTGCCAGAATCCACGAGGTCGTGATCGACATCGGGCTCCATCTTGGGCGAAGCGCACAAATCCACGAGGTCCTGATCGACATCGGGAATGCGTCGGTATGCCCACACCATGAAGTCCAAGTTCGCCGCCAAGTTCTCCAGAACTTTGGACTCGTGACGCCTGCTGCTTCCAGGAGCAGGTCTGTGAACCCGCCAGGAGCATCCAGAACTCGGGCCAACGCCAAGGGGCCGCCAAAGTGTCGGCTTCGGCCGGCCGAAGACTCAAGGTGTTCTTCCGGTCTCGAAACATGGAAAGAAGCCGAAACTCGGAGCCATCTACATATTCCACATCCATCCTCACTATCGTGCGCCGGTCCGTCAAAGCTTCCTCAAGCGAGATTGCAGAGGCATCAGCGCAACATTTGACAGTTGAGCGCTGGTCCTTCGAAGTCTGCAGCTCCAGCTGGTGTGAGGAGACGTGCCGTCGAGTCCCGCCAGGTTCCCCGGAAAAACTCCTGAGAGGCGTCTTGAACTCTGAGTCTTCTGGCCTCCTCCCCGAACCCGAACTAACCCCGAGCCCGAAACTCCGACCACCAATGTTTGGAAAAGCAGGAACTGTCATTCAGATTACGAGCATCGTCGTTGATGATGGTGGTGATGACGACGATTGCTGCGAACATCACATGTGACGCTCACTGACCCTAACACTTACTAGCCCGAGAGACCTCCACCTCGTATCCACAACTATGCCGACCACATCCGCAGCACGGCATTCATGCAGGTGACAGGAAAAACAGGGGGAGGGACAGGGTCGATTCCTCACGACTATATTGCTTTTGGAAGCCGTGGCAGTCAATTCGCTCTC